GCATTTTATTGCACAGCACTACAATACAATGTCAATCAATAAAATGAAGTCCATTTTTGTTTTACATTATGGTATTGAGAAAAAGGTGTAAATTAACATATTTTGTAATATATTTTCATTTTTAAAAAAGTTTTGAAAAAGAGACTGGATGGAATATTTTCATTCACATTTTCTTATATGATTGTTCTCTAAATTAACAATGCAGTAATAATGTCGAAGGATTTTTCGACATTTTTTTTTCATTGTTTATTATTTTATGCAACGCCTTTTTTGGGTAGATGAAAGATTAAAAAAGAGAGAAATCTCGTGTTTGACTGATGAATGTAAATTTTGAGAGTGATGCAGATAAGCACCAGGAAGGATAAACAGAATATATTCTGATAACAGAATTTAGAATAAAGGTTCTCATCAAAGAACTGTTACTTTTGCTGATTTTTTTTTTATTGAAAGACTGATATGGATATTAGCGAAACATTCCGAGGAAAATTGGAGTGTCGAGTGAAGTTCTTTAATTGCAAGCTAATTAATTTTGCTTTTAAATAAAAAAAAATAACTGTCCTACAATACATTCCATTGTAATGCTGGATGTACTGTCTAATTAAAACATACTTGGTCAATTTTTATTATTAGGCAAAAGAGTGAAAAAAAATATAAACTTTCCTGTTTGACTGATGAGTGAATATTTTGAGACTCAAACAAAGCGCAGATGACTTTGTCGAACAATCAAAGACACTTTTCAATACTGCTTAGCAGTAATTGTTTAGTAAGATAAGCTCACGCTAAGTCCATTACACGCGACATTACCCGTAACCGTTATTTACTCTGACTTTAACACATGGTCATTTGTGAATATCTCTCCAACATTTTATATATAGTAAGCCTGCTACTCGTTAGCATTGCTTAAACATTTACATAATATAAAGCAGAAATCAATGATCGTTTTGTCTACGTTGTTCAAAGGGACATAATTTGAGTTATCAAACTTTGAAACAAAACTTACATTATGCAAATTTCCAAATAAACATTCAATCACAAGGAAAAATTGTATATAAAAGCTGTCTTTGTAGGGTGGATGGTGGGGAATATTTTTAATACATTGACAAGTAAAATAATTGTGCTTGCTTAAATACAAGTATAATTGCACTACACTGCATTCTGCTGCAATACAATGCGATACATTGTGATGCCTGCCAAATTGTCCAATCAAAATTAACTTACTAGTAGTCATTTTTTTTCTTAATTGAATTTAAAAACTGATTGAATACACACACTTTTTTTCATTTCATGCTTTTGAAAAACAAAGGTTTCAAAAACAGACTAGAGAGCATTTCTTTTATTCTCATATTCTTAAATATTTGTTTTTTTTTATATGAATAAAAATTAACAATAAGTAAATTAGACGAAGGTCTTTCACAAAGTTATGTATTACTGTTTTTTTTTTTTTTTTTTTTTTTTTTTTTTTTTTTTTTTTTTATCGAATGACTAGTTTGAGTATGCGCAAAAGATCCAAAAGAAATGAACACTCCTTTTTGACTGATGAGTGGATTTTTTTGTTTGCAAGAGAATTTATGCTGTTTACCATAATAAGAATTCAACTGCATTTTATTGCACAGCACTACAATACAATGTCAATCAATAAAATGAAGTCCATTTTTGTTTTACATTATGGTATTGAGAAAAAGGTGTAAATTAACATATTTTGTAATATATTTTCATTTTTAAAAAAGTTTTGAAAAAGAGACTGGATGGAATATTTTCATTCACATTTTCTTATATGATTGTTCTCTATTATATGAAATTAAATTAACAATGCAGTAATAATGTCGAAGGATTTTTCGACAATTTTTTTCATTGTTGTTTATTATTTTATGCAACGCCTTTTTTGGGTAGATGAAAGATTGAAAAAGAGAGAAATCTCGTGTTTGACTGATGAGTGTAAATTTTGAGAGTGATGCAGATAAGCACCAGGAAGGATAAACAGAATGTATTCTGATAACAGTACTTAGAGCTAAGTTCTCATCAAAGAACAGTTACTTTTGCTGATTTTTTTATTGAAAGACTGATATGGATATATGCAAAACATCCCAAAAAAATTGGAGTGTCGAGTGAAGTTCTTTAATTGCAAGCTAATTAATTTTGCTTTAAAAAAAAAAAATAACTGTCCTACAATACATTGCATTGTAATGCTTGATGTACTGTCTAATTAAAACATACTTGGTCAATTTTTATTGTTAGGCAAAAGAGTGAAAAAAATATAAACTTTCCTGTTTGACTGATGAGTGAATATTTTGAGACTCAAACAAAGCGCGGATGACTTTGTCGAACAATCAAAGACGCTTTTCAATACTGCTTAGCAGTAATTGTTTAGTGAGATAAGCTCACACTAAGTCCATTACACGCGACATTACCCGTAAAGCTCCAATTTTCGCCGTAATTTTTCACAAAAGCATGGATTAATTAAGTAGATTGTGATTTTTTAAATCCCACTCAATTCTGTTTAAAATTTTAAAAATCTTTCGGAAATTCTGGAAACATATTTTTTAGGATATGTTTTTAAAAGAAACAGATTATAGCAATTTCCTGTTTACTGCCAATTTTATTTATAAACCGGTTCTACCCTATAACCTTAGAATGGGTCATCCTACACCACGTGTCTTGAATTTAAATCACAATTACATTAGTAGGGGTGCAGCATGTGAAATGAAAAAGTTATGACGTCTAGCTTGTACAAACTCATAAAATCATTATTACAGTGTGATAAATATTCTATGCAAAAGGAATCTTCTATACATATAAAAGAATAAGCAATCAAATCTTTATATATATACTGGCATTTTTTTTTATTTCCTTCAATATGCATGTATACATTTAATAATTCTACACATCAAGGTAGGGTCCGACCCCCCCCCCCCCCCGAACTGCGCATACTCTTCTTTCTCCCCTAAGCGGGGGACAGAAAGTCTCTGAATTAGCTTGTTCATAAATGAAAAAGGCTAAAGATAACGAACAGTGATCGATCTCAGAAAATTAATTAATTTCAATTTTGAAAAAAGAAAAAAGAAGAAGAAATAAATTCATTAATTTTTACTTTTTTGTCGATAATATAAGGATGTGTAATTGTATCTTCAAACACAATGTGTACTGTTATTTCATAATTTTCAACACTGTCCATTTACCCCAAATCTATGGGGTAAGTGAACACTTTTTAAAATTTAACTTCTAAGCCCATATACTTCAAACCATTAGAATTAAGTTTAATTTAATTTAATCAGTATTTTATTATGTAAAATCAGTTTACATAATTGGATTGGACATCAGGCATGGCCTATATAAGTCCTCTCCAAGAAGGTCAGGGTTACAAATGTTAAGAATTGACAATGATTTACAATCATGATGAAATGATTCATAATAAGTTACATTAATTTCTTTTGTTAACTAGAAATGGGAAAAAATGAGAGATAAATTAATAAATTCACAAGAGTTATTACTTAGCATGTATACTCACTATACAATATAATGAAAAAATAAAAGAGTGCAAACAAACAACAAAATAGAATAAGTAAACAAATAAAGTGCAAAAGACAAATATGCAAGGAAAAAAACGAAGAAAATAATATTAATAATAATAAATAAATAAATCTGGAACAAGCAAAAACACTGGATAATAATAATAAAAAAAAAAGAATGAAAGTGCAAAAGACAAAATACCCCCCTCCCCCCCCCCCCCCCCCAAAAAAAAAAAAAAAAACAATATATGTACATGGAAATGCTGAGATTTGAAATAAGTATAAATATAAAAAATATTAGGAAATTAATATTAAAACTTAAATATGAAATAATATCAAAATCGCTTTGAAAACTTGATGTATAGTTGAACTGCTTCAAAAATTGAACAGTTAGTTTTATCAGGTAATTGCATGCCTATCTCCAAATAGCAAAGTATTCAAAAATTGATCAGGAGAGAGGGTTTCTAATTCTATTATACTCCGAAGACTGTCAAAAAGTATCATTCTCTGATTATTACAAGCAGGGCATGAAGTTGAGAAATATTTTACACTACAAAGAGATAAGAGTGAACAATCAGTTTAGTATACTACAAGAAAGATTAGTTCAGATTAGAAGTTTTCAGACTCCAATTAAACCCTTAATGTGTCCACTTACCCCAGTTGCCCTTATATTGAAAAAAGTAGGCCCAATTTCACTGATTCTTGTCTTGTTGAGATGATACAAACAGAGAAAGTAGATGCCTGGATTTATATATATATTTGGACATATATTGGTTGTAAATGATGCAAATTTCAAATTTTAAGATATAAAGAAATTGTAAACTTTCTTAATGTTCAAAATTCTACCTTTCTGCAATAATCCTTGTAAATCTTTACAACTTTTTATCCCTTTATAGGACATTATTGTGAAGCATTTCAATGAAAAATTAAAATCTATGCACTTAAAATTATTCATTTTACTTATATAAACATGGCATGAGTTGTTATGTTCATGATTTTTGAGAAAAAAGTTCATTTGCATCATTACCTGTGTTACTGAATGCCAGGGATGCAATTCGGATATGGGAAACATTCAAATTAATCTACTGAACTAATGATCAAACTACGGGTGATTTCTGATGATTTTTTTTCTTCTACACATAGATATGACTGTACCAGAAAACATTTAAATGAAAATATGGAATAATTTTGATAGTTATCTCTTACACGAATAAAACTTGTCGTTAGACACGTACTGTTTTAGGGGTCCACATTGAAAAGAATGGTATAGTGTGTAGTAATTCGAAGTTCCAGCTTTAGAAGTAGTGGGGTCTTCTTTCCCAATACGTTACATGTATGCACAATACTTATTTTCGTCAGAATGTGTGAATTGGTTAGCAAAGACCATGGAGAATAGGAGAGAAGGGAGTATTTTCTAGAGACTAAAAGGGGCATTTGGTATCTTTTAAGTTCATCATTATTTTCTTTACCTTGATACTTGACTCTTTATAACAGATGACCCCAGACAGACAGTTTATATTAGACAATCATCCAGAGTGGAAAAACATAATCATAGGAGCCGGTTTTTCTGGTAATTGATCTTCAATTATGTCAAGAATTGCATTATTTCAATGATATTAGAATTATACATTTTTAATATTGTATCAAGAAAAAATTAAATCGTAAAACGTTACTGCACCCCCCCCCCCTTTTTTTTTTTAAAAGTACGTTGCACCAAATGATAATTCTGTGTGTGTATATATATATATATATATATATATATATATATATATATATATATATATATATATATATATATATATATATATATATATATGATAAACTTATAAAGACAAAACAACCTGCAGAAATTGCTATACCGTGTTTAAAAACGAAAAGCATGCAAGCAGTTCCTGTATTAAATTCTTTTTAAAACACTGTCTTAAATAACTGGAAAGTGCTAAAGTTTCAAGCCGTGTGTTTTCTATTTCACACAGGTCACGGATATAAGTTGGCTCCTATTGTTGGTAAAGTACTGACGGAACTTGTCCTCAACAAGGAACCCTCCTACGATCTGTCACGATGTCGGATCCGAAGATTTCTTCCTCCCAAGCACCAGTTATAGGAAAAGGGCTTAAATGGGCTAAAATAGACAATATGCCTGCTACCGAATCCCATTTACTTTCTGTGAATAAAATTATGTATATAAAGAAATATATAGGATTGACTGAAGAAGCCAGACGTTAGATTACTTTCTATTCTTCCTCGAAAATTACACTTAAAAAAATTCTGTTTAGAATTTTGTTTATGATAGTTTTTCCAAGAAAACCAAAATATGAATACTAAGTAGTATTTAAAGTTTTTCTCATTGTGTGTGCGCGCGTGTGTGTGTGAGAGAGAGTGTGTGAGGGAGGGTGTGTCGGCGTGTGTATGTGTTTGTTTGTTTCATGCACTGATGTAAAGATGTGAAAAAAATGCAATGGAAATTGTCGGGGTTTTGCAAACAATTATTTAAAATACTTTTGTAAACCCTCTAAATATTAGTGGTTTTATCATAAATTCAGTTATTGGACTATTTTTAGATTTTGTCCACATGCAAATGGAACGTATATCGCACGATTCATGCATTTTAGGATTTTCTGAAACCAGAAAAGACCCAAAGGTTTTAGCTAAAATTCCTAAAAATACAACTAAACAGACATAAAAAAAATTGTATCATTATGAAATAAATCAATTATACCTATTACTTTATCTTTTATAGAATGATGGGGAAAATCACCCCACTATGGTTGATAATAATGCTCTAGTGTAGCCCCCCCCCCCCCCCCCCGAAAGTTTGCTCTAGATAGAAGAACTACAGAAGAATTTTCGGGGGAATTCTTACTATCCCTAATATGGAACTTCTGTTCTATATCTAAATTTATGAGTAACTAGATTTTCTTCATTGTGTTTTTCCTTTGTTTACTGTATGACTATCAAAGAGCATATTTATGTAAAGGTTCTTCTGCAGAACTTAAGGTTTTTTTCACCAGATGATCATTTTGGGGTACTTAATGATGCCATAATGTATGAAAGTGTTCCAACAAAATAAATAACTTGCAATATGAAATCAAAATTCACATCTCGTTTTATTTTAATGTGAAATTAAAAAAAAAAATAATCGTCTAACAGTTTCTCAAATTTTGCACATGGAATATCAATTTTTTGTATAGGACAATATTTCGTATTACATGAACATGTTGTTCTTGCTAACAGCAATTTTGAACAGTTAAAGTTTTATCACACGTTTGTTGTATTACCCAGATCCCCAAATTCATACAACATCAAGAATAAAATATTTGGTAAAATACGAAAATGTACGAAGTATATCAAGGACCTTGGATTTGCCATTATCACCTTTTTTCACAAAGGAGCTGGTATCCTTCCCATGACTCGCCTGCATTTGCGCTTAATTAAAAGGAAAAATATCTGTTTAAAGTATGGGTATTTTTAAATATATTTTAAGAAAAACTTTGAGGAGTGTGAATGTTTCTGAAAAATTAATGTAAAATTCACTTTTATAGTACAAATTCAAGATACTTGAAGATAGACTAGAAACACTTCAAACCCCCAACCCCACCCATCCTTTCCGAAGCAAGGTAGAAACATTTTATGGAAAACATTTGAAAACTCCTAAAATAATCATTCTTACGATGTGAGTATAATTTGTCAAAGTTTTCTTAAAATCGAATTCAAGGATCAAAATTTGGAAACAAAGTTATTGGGAATTAAGGAAGGATTCTTCTCGTGTTTATCATATTTGAAAATTAATGAAATTTTCACAGATTAAAGAAGACAATATCACTAGGTGATGACATAAAATACATTATATTTAACCGTTTAATTAAAAGGTCAAGGTCATTATCTTTTCCTTGTCATTATGAATAAAAAATTGTTGTTGCCAATCATGTTATGCTTATTATTATTTTAAAAGATTTAATCTTTTTTCTTTTTACATAAAAAGTTGATACAACAAACGGTCTACCAGATGATAATATCAAATTAAGATAAACAGTGAAACTAAATAGATATTGGTTAACCCAAATTTCCTCTACTTTTCTTAATGTTTTAGGAAATATTAGTTATTTTAATGTGCTTTGTGTATTTAAAATTTCATTATTTTAACATATGGTAAAGTAGTCTTGTAAAGGTACAAAATGATACAAAAACCAAAAGTTTTGACCGTTTAATAAGAGAGAAAAACATTTTTTACTGAATCTTTACTCAAATCTGTTCTTAGAGTCCTTAGCTTTCAAAGGCTATAAGATTGCCATTTGTCTAGAAAATTATAATTTATTTCATGTTTTAAAACTTTAGTCCATTATTATTAATTTCAGCTACTACAAAATTTTCCTTAAGACTTTGATTGTTTAAAAATGCCTTTTAAATTCATTGTTCTCTAGTAATTTTGAGAAGCAGAAAAGGTGATATTTTCATACGCCGCCATTCCGCCAAAAATATAGTCCCTGCTAGATTTCAAAGTCAGTTTACCATTACTATTCCAAATTGTACAATTATGAAAAATAAAGAAAAATATGATCTTTAAAACCCTTAACATCTATATATAAAAGACATGTAAGCAAATACACTTTGAGTATTTCATTAAGTCAGAAACCAGACAAGAATCCCTCCTTAAACATTGTATATAAATCATAATTATAGAACAATGAGACTATTTCAGACTTTTATTTGAAAAAAATGAAATATGTCATAAACGGCATTGCTCGTACATTAATTCGACAAAAAGTCATAAAGGAAGAATTTTTCTATAACGGCAAATTTATGAATAATCGGTGGTTTATATGTTCTTTTAAAAATATTATACAAAAAAAAAAAATCCAGTTTGTATATGGAATAACAATGATATAACGCTGTATCAAGAATTCAGTAATCAGGCCCGAGGAACACGGGGGGGGGGGGGGGGGGCTTTTTCTGCTACAATAAATTTTCCTTTAGATGCAGGTTGCCCTCCCCCTCCACCACCTTTTGTTGCTCTTAGGTCGAACGCTGACAAATTCCAGGATTTGGACAGTTCATAAGGTTTTTTTTTCTGGCTTGTCAAATTATTTTGGGAAGTTGCCCCCCCCCCCCAACTTTTTGGTCATTTTTTTTGTCAGATATTTTGGGAAGTTGCCCCCTTTTGAAACCGTAGCTACATTGTACGGGCCTGAGTAAGAACAAGCCATGAATTATAATAAACACTGGCATACAAATATAGTATAATTAAAGTATAATTTTTAGCAGATTGGTGTGTTATGGAAAATTTCGATCCATAAGCTTAATGTAGATTAAGTGTTACGACATATTACATGTAATTATCTAATATTAATGATTGAGCAATTTGATTTAAAAATGGACAATATATGCTAAGACCATTAAACAATACTTTGAAAACTGTCTAGAATTATGGAGAGCCCTCCAGAAAGTCAATTTTAATGTCCACTGAAGTTTTGGACGTTTCATCAATGCCCTCAACAGTAATCTTTGTTCCCCCAAACTTGAATTTGGCTTTGACTTTCCGGCTTGTTCCTCCACTGGTGTCCGGCATGGGAACGGTCAAGGAACCGATTTCCTTACATCCCTCGTCATCAATATATTCTGGATCCACGTGGTTACATGTGAAGACTCTGAAATTGACAGATGTTTGGTCTTCGTAAATTGGATAGTACGTTTCGTCTGTTGTTTCATCAACATGTATTGTGTCTCCTTTTCTTACGTGAATATCGAACTTGTCTTTGCAATAAACTTTTCCATTCTTGACTGTTCTTTTTGATTCGGGGTGTTTTCCTTCAATGAATGTGGTGTTGGTTCCAACGCCATAAGTGTACTTTACAACTCTGGCGGCAATCATTTTTGGGTCGTGACCAAATATAACGGCCCCTTTCAGTACGGCCAAACCACAGTCTGGAGGAATCACTACTTTACAGGACGGGAATGATTCTCGTATCCTCCTCTGTAGAAGGTCACACTCGGAAAACCCCCCAACCATAAGAATCACGTCGGTTCCTAACGCTGTCTCGGATATCAACATTTCCTCAACTTTAAAGACAATCTTGTCGATTACATGATTGAAAAATTTTTCATATTTCTTCTGCTCGATAAAAATTTTATCCCGCTTCCATGTCACATATTCCCCTAAGCCTTTTGTCTGTGTCAAAGTATTAATATCCCCATCCGATATACTCAGAAAAGACTGCGGAACTTGCATACGCACTTTTTTGCTCGTTGCCTTTTCTCTCTTCTTACTTTCAAAAAATCTAAACAAATCAATATAGTCTCCAGTAAATCTCATTCGGAAAGCCTCAAAGATCGGTTTAGAAACTATCTCCTCTAGCATTTCTTTGAATTGGGCGTCTACATAAATCCCACCCCAATCACCGCCTTGAGCGCGGTCAATTTCTTGTAGCTTCCCATCTTCTGTCACTTCCTGAATCGCCATGTCAATAGTACCACCTAAAATATTCAAAATATTCAACAATAATAATTTTCCCAAAAAATCATGATGTTACTCTTAATTTCATCATTTCGTAAGTTTTACGGTCGATACAATGACCTTGTCAACACATACAACCTATCATTAAGTCAAATGCTGACTGATGTATTTCATACCAATTGTTAGGCCATTACTTATACACTGATCTGCCTACGGATTTTTCCAGGTTTTTTTGTTTCCCGATCATGACAAGGAGCACACGGCAGGGGATGCTCCCTCCTCCGTGGCACCTGATCCCACCTCTAAATTTTGAGGTCCGTGTTTGCTCTGCTCCAAATTTGTATCGTTTTATTGGATTTTCGAGATTGAATACTGTTTGTTATCTTCATATTTCATTTCATACATGATACAAGGCCGATTAGCAACTGAAAAATGAAAGTACCTGGTATTCATTTATCATATACTAGTATACATGTAGATATACCTCCTGCGTCCAAAACAATGAACCTTCGGCCTGGCTGCATTGCACTCAGACAATCTCCTCCTTTTTCTATAGGTAAACACTTGCAGTAAATAGCTGCAGCTTCTGGTTCTAAGCAAATCATCAGGTAAGCTTTCGGAATGCCAGCCTAACATGGAATGAACAAATTAAAATTTCAGCAACACATAATCAAAATCTAATTACGGAGAGATGTTCTATAGGAGATGATACAGATTTATAGCAATATAATTACCTTCTCGGCTGCTTCTTCCATGAACTGTTTGGCAGGTTCGTCCCAAATAGCAGGAACGGTTAGGACCCAAGCTACATCACCGTCCTCAGGCGAAATAGCCTTCTTCAAATTCTGCTTTTCAAAACTATCCAAAAAGTGACCTCTCAGATACTTGATGGAGTGTGTAAAAACATCTATGGCCAATATCTCCTTGTCTGTCATATCCTTTAGTTTGGTGTTTCTGGTAATTTTCTAATTAACCAATTAAAAAAAATCAGGATTATACATTCAAAAAATGCATTCTTAATTATACATGTATATGATATAATTGTCATGAACGGCAGATTGAGACTCTATGCATGAATTTACCAGATGCCCATCTTTGTCGTACAGCATCATTTTAAATCGACGAAAATAAAAATATTTTTTCTTCTCTTCTTCTGGCAATCTGCTATACATGTTTTCAGCATCGTAACCAAAGCTGACAAAGTTTTGGTCTGCGTCGAGTAGCAGAGTTGTGGGTGTTTTTTCTGACATTAATTCCCCAGCATTCCAGTGAACGGTATATATTTCATTGATGTTCTTTTCGTTGCCTTTCAAGAAATTTGCCCGGGTGGAAAAGGCGTATCCAGAGTATGTTGTACCAAAGTCTATAGCCACAACGTAAAGCGAATTCCCTGAAGTTGACATCTGTGAGCAAAAAAGAGTTGTAACAAGCTAACCCTTAAACATCAATTAACACAACAATTTTTCAAAACGTTTGGTCATATTATTTTGTCTACCGACATATCCATGAGTTATAAACGTTATTTAACAATTCAGAGAATTTAAAAGCGAAATTGTTCCTCTGTTCCAGTTTGACATTACAGGGGGAAAAGCTAGGAGCTACATGTATAATTAAACGAATAAGTCGGTGTGAAAGATACACTTCAGGAATACTAATTCGATGTACTAGTGTACATGTATAAGAGGGAAATTTGCTATTTTCAGTATACATGTATATTCAACTTAATAAAACTTTTAAAATTAGTTAAAACATAAAAAGAACAAATACATGAACTAACACGATTTATGGACAGACTCTTTGTGACCCAGTATCGTTACAAATACTAAGTAAAGTGTCATTCACCAAACAACACTTTAATACTAAATCGGGCTGAAGAGCAAGGACCATGAACCATATAAATGCATCATCTCAAAATTTTCGTGTTATTCAAATGTGAAAAAAAATACTCTGGCTCTTAATTAGACATGTTAAATTAACTGGTATATGCCAAATCCACTGATGACTTTCAATATCTATTTTAAACTTATTCATTTTTCTTTAATGTATCTTAGGATGCAAATCAATTATAATTGTCTATGTTAATGCTTTTCACTTAAATCAGTAACTGAGCATGAAATTATTCGAATTACACAGTCACGTGGAAAGGATTCTATTTTCTATATTATATACATGTACTTGTGGACATTTTATTTTACAATTCAGTTATTACTATTGCTTCCTTGTCTGGGACGCCCGCGTGACGCAGTGGTAGAGCGTCTGCTCTAGACTCGCGGAGTAAGGGGTTAATCCTTACGTCGCTGGTTCGAATCCTACTGTGGGACATGGAGACCGGTCCTTCGGATAAGACCGTATAAACCGAGGTCCCGTCTTGCAGTAGGTGCTGGCATGAAAAAGATCCCTCATTGTGCAATGGCCCTAAGTGCCGAGTATAGGTCAAAATTTGCAGCAAGTGGTGGCGTCTCCACATTCATGAGTGAAAAACGAATGTTAAACAACAAACAAACAAATCATTGTCTGGGACCAAAAAATAGACCATCGACACTGCAGTAACTTGCATCATATGACATGGTAGTTTCAAACACGTGTGATGAATCTAAATAATAATAAATATCACGGCAAAGGCATCCTCGCAATCCACTGCCAAAATTTTCGATTCTCTCCCATTCTGGAGAGAGCTATGAGCGAACTCCGGACTGTGGCTTGAGACGATGGGCCAAAGGTTTCTGCGTACTTGTTGCTAATATGCAGGAATATGCCAAAAATAAATGTAATTACTGAAATGTTTGCCGCAAGTGAACAACAATGTTTGTAGCAAGTTTGCAGCAATGTTTATTTAATATAAGTTAACAGCAAGATTTCCATATTTGAAAAACTCATTGTTTGCTGCAGACTTGAAGCAAACCTCATTCAAGCTTATATCATTTGTAAATTTTGAATTTACTAAGGGGGTAAATACAAAATTTACCACGTGATACTTGATACATACTTGAAGCTAGCACACTTGCTGCAAAGTGTTACATGGCCGTAGGAACCAGGGGAGGGGGCACTGGGGGCGTTCCCCCAATAATTTTGCTGATATATAAGTGTAGAGTACTATAGAAAACAGAGATACTTTATGCTCGTGCCCCCTCAATAAAAACATCTGATGACCCCCCCTTTTTTTTGCATGTCAGGAAATTTTTGGTAGTTGATAGTGCCCCCTCAACTGAAAATGTATGGCTGTGCCCCTCCCCCCCCAAAAAAAAAGCCCTCACCATAGTCGTTCAATCGGGTCCGTAGGACAATATCATTTTAACGATAGAACGTTCTATCTAGCTGTCATGGTTTCTTTAGCTTCATTGCAGCAAGTTTGAAGCAATGTCTGCAGCAGACTTGCACCAAATTTTTACAGGAAGGCGTGTTGTAGACGTTACGCGCACTGTTCATAATCCGACGTCGACCATTTACGCATACAGTTTTTTTTAAAGGGAAAATAATATTAAGGAAGCTCTAAACACTGCTCACTAAAGAGCTCTACTTATAGGGTAGTTTTATGCAGTTAGAGTGATCTGCCCTTAGAAGTAAGATAGAAAAAATGGTTATTTACAGTTAATTACACAATTTGTAATAGATTAAAATGTTCTTAGTATTATATTAGACAAAGAATAAGAAATTTAATTCATTATTTCCATTGATTTTCTAAATGTAAGTAAACAACAGTGATTTCTGCTCACGAATAGTCTATTGTCTTTGAACATTTTTCCTGCAGAAATAAGGCAGGTGCCATATGTTGAAAATGAACTAAATAGTCTCAATATGCACACCTTTATATGATATACATGTATTTTTCTCTAAGTCCAAAAAGCACTTTTGTTTAGTGTTTAGAGCTTCCTTAACTGTAATCTTGGAGACCGTGCTGGGAGCAACAGTGTATTATTTTAAACATAAACAAACGGTTTTCATACCATGGTGCTTTTAAAAATCATAAACTCGCCCTGCTCATCACTTTTTACAACCCGAAACCGAAAGTTTATTTAAATGTTGATAATACATCCACAGATATTACACTAATATAATATTTTTTTTTTTTTTTGAATTTCAAATAATTAATGATAATAAAACAGAGAACATACAATCTAAACAATTATTTTCTCATACCTCTGACTTCAAGTAGCAAGTGTTTACATCGTTCCAAAGAATGTATTTTTAGATTCGGTGTTTTCCAGAAATCTACATTGTACTATGATCAACAGACCAATATGCCACCTGCATTTACATACGCATTCTATTTACGGCAAACTATATGAAACATCCATGCTGTAAATTGCATTTTCTTTTCATTGTAACCTTCACATCTACCACGCTTGTTATTTTTTTTTTTAATTTTAAGTCATGTGACAACTTTTATTCACGTGATTTCTTAAAATAGATATTCGGAAAACTCCAAAACGAAAGTAGAAAAATGAACTTTTCAGAGAATATGGTGCTTTTCGGGTTTTCCTGGTAAATGTTTATATAAATGAATTATCATCATTATGAGTGGAGGATTCATCATGAATCGGCTGCGGGAGGAGTTGAGCTCGCGTTGTGTGATTGTGGGGGGCTTCCCTCCTCCTCCGGCAATACTACCCCAGAATGTGTATAGTTTATTTCAGTGTCAACGGGCCGAGCCAGCAGGCGAAGGAACATCGTGGCTTGTCTTGTTTCAGAATTCAGACCGTAAGTTATCAATCATACTGGTTTGACCAATACCCGGACAGAACAAGTTTTCAAATTTATGTAATCTAGACAAAAGCTTTAATTTGAATGTTTTTTTTTTTTTTTACATTTCACTGCATTTCACATTAGTAAGAATCCAAGGGAGTGATCATCAGCGTTTCATGAGTCTAGTAAACAAAATGGTGTTCTAAATCTACACAGTTGGACAGATTCTTTGTTTCAGTTTGCCCCAGTAATTTAATATCAAAGTGGTGAGTAAGTCTTGGACAGTGAGGTATTGAGGTCAAACCACATTTAAATAGCTACCATGCTCTTGCATCCAATTAATTTTAATGTACTGAGTAAAAAAAAATGCATTTAAAGTCACATTTTATTTGAACACAATCCAAAGTGGTGAGTAAGTCTTGGACAGTGAGGTATGTTGAGTAGATAGAATGTTCTATCGTTAAAATTATAAATGTCCTACGGACCCAGTTTAGATTATTCTAACTATATATTGAGGTCAAACCACATTTAAATAGCTACCATGCTCTTGCATCCAATTAGTTTTAATGTACTGAGTAAAAAAAATGCATTTAAAGTAACATTTTATTTTACACATTTTACAATTCATGTTAAGTATTTTGTATTAATTAATAATGGTTATTGTTCTTTTTTTCAAACATAATTATATTATCAGCATATTCAAATATATATTGCATAAATGACAGCAACATACTATTTGGTCGGTTTATTATTGGTTATTTAACATCAATCTGACGTTGAAAAAAATTTGTGATTTTCAATGTCTTTTTTTCAACGTCCTATGATGTTGTTATTTGGTTGTTCAATGTCGTCAACTAAGATCAACATATTTTCAACGTTGGTACAACGTTGTATGCCTGCGGGGTGGTTATTGAATCAGTGATATTCAAGTATTAATCCTTCTTGCTTGTGACTAAACACCTGAATTGTCTCCATGTGTTTACTGTACGTATGAAGTGTTTTTTGGTAACATACCTGTACATTAATTCCTATTGTTTTTGAAGATCAGGATGTGTATAAGCACCATCAGGTGACAACTAGGGCTGTGTATTGAGCAAAAAATTTTGATACGATATATTTTATACAGCGATATGCAATATATTGGATTCCTTGTCAAGTCTATCAAAAAAGTCCTACAAATCATTTAATGCATATAATATTTTTAAAAACTGAGTGTTTAATAACCCATTTTGAAGTTCTTGTCTCACAGTTATTACAAAATACTCCTCAAATTCAAATTTTTAACGACAGTAAAACCAACATGTTAAAATACAGTTGTCTATGTATTTTGTAATAATTATTTAAGATGTGCTATCTCCTAAATGTTTATATCATTATTAATCAGTTTTTAATTAATTCAAAACAGTTAAATATAAACTTTGGTGATTGAAATTCCCAACTTTTTCACAGAATTATAAGAAAAACTGCCTATTTATTTGATACAATACATTCTTGAATATCGGATGGTACGTATTGATATAGCGCACAGCCCTAGTGACAACCCTACTGAGACCTGACAGTCTGTGATGTCTCCTTACTAAACATTCCATAATACCGCGTCGCGTTGTTTTATTATCCTGAAGAATCAAATATATCAGGCAAACTTATTGAATTCTCCAACCCACTGGTCTGATATATATTTTGACATCATAAATTGTTTCCCTGCATGTGACATCCTCTAGACCAATCAGATTTACTGTATTATTCTGAAGAATAATAGTATATCTTACATGTCTCATGTTTTTTTGTTTTTTTTTACGTAAATTACAGAAGCAAAATGGTGGGTGACAAATCGCAGCACTTATCATGTTGGAAACATGAGTTTACGAGTAACTCCTTCCTGTGGATCTAACATTCCTGATGCTTGGCTTCAGGTGAGAAAATTGGACTGAAATGGGAGGGAAGGGAGGGATATTCAAGTACATGTATTTCTTCTTGCTTATGTCAATATTGCAAGAGATATTCCTCTATTTATTTATGAGTTCTTGGTAACGTAACATGGCTCTAAAGAGTTATCTATGTTGTGACAAGACAATGAAAGATGTGTCAGAAGGAAAGAGGCAGATAAGTATTATATGACTGGTGATTGAGCAGATGGTACTGGTACTTGCATGCATGAGGAAGGCAACAAAAACATCAGTCATATCCTATATTATTGCTTGAGCATAAGTAAGGCATTCTGGGAGCAACAAAGGATGAGATTGACTATAGACCTGTAAATTAAAAAAAAAATGTTATTAAAACTTTTCAGTGTAATGTATCATGAATTTCTTCAGTTTCCTTAGTCATGAATATTTAACTCTGTAGAATTGTACACAATTTCCAATAAAAAAAAAATTACAAGTGTACATGTATGATGATAGAAACTCTTACTAAAGTTATAATTTTGGATTGAGGGCTGTGCTCATATTTCAATTTTAAGCCCCTGTCACACCAGGGCTGTGTTTCCACTGTAACAGTTGTTTCTGGGATTGCCATGGGAATTCAGAAAATTTGTGCAATTTCATTTGAAATTTTTCAAAAGATGAAGATGTCATGGCATTCTGATGGTGACCGAGGCATTTCTACGGAGCTCCTGCGGTGCGCTACTGCATTCCTTCAGAGTTCTGATGATTGAATGGCTGATTGCTCATGACATGTGAGGTCGAGTTGTCACTTCGTGTTGTGCACAATGCACTGATGGTCGAGTTGTCACTTCATGTTGTGCACAATGCACTGATGGTCGAGTTGTCACTTCATGTTGTGCACAATGCACTGACTTCGTGCACAAGACATTCTTTTGAATGCAGTGATGTTTCAAACTGAGAGATCTCTGTGCAAGTGCTGTCAACTACTACTGCGTCGATACAGCGATCACGTGCATCACTTGGGCGTGCCATCGGAGCTCTTGTGGTGCTGTTGGAGACCTTATTGCACTCCTATAGTGACCCTAAAACTGTAAATCAGACTGAGAATATAGAGCCATGGCATATACTTTGTGAATGCATAAAGGAAATTAATAAGTTCATAGACTATTTCTTAAAATGGTATAAATTATATTTCAGAATAGATTAGGAACTTTCAGGTGTTAGCCATATATTCAGTTCACATTTACTGTACATTGTGATTTCCTTTGGCTATATGCCAATAGTCAATTTATGTATTTCTTGCATATAAAAAGAAAGAAATGAAATACTGAGAGATTGGTTAGAAACAAGTTTTTTTTAACTCATGCTCTTTTTATAAAAATTTTGTTAGCCCACTCAAAATCCTTTTTTTAAACCAGAAGTACTGACTACGTGAGAAATAGAGAAATTCAATATCATATGCTAATAAAATACACAACCTCATAGTTTCAAGTGACTTTTCTTTTAAATGTTGATACCTTGTATATGAACATGTAATTGTATGTACCTGATATCTGTTCTACAGTGTTTACATACAGGTACATAAACATTGTACATAAATTAGATTATGGTTTAAACTTCCTTATTAAATTGAAAGAGATAAAAAAAAATGCGACTGATTATTGACTGTTTGTTATAAGGTATGTGAACAAGTATGAAATGATAAGATACAAGCGATAGAGATATATTTGTAGGAGAGAACACCCCATGTGACCAAATTTGTTTTTTTTGTAAGGCCATTCCAAGTTATTTCAATGTTAAGTGTCCATGTACGCCTTGATTTTTGACACCCAAGATCAGAAAAAAACAAAACAAAACAAAATTAGGAGTCCTGAAACTGATTCTTTTGATCAAAACCATTGTCAATTTCTTTCTATATTTGTCTAAAATCTGTGACAGTCATATAATAGCATGATTTTGCTAAGGAATTTATAGGTCTTTCTATGATAAAAATAGATTAATGAAATCAAATCCTTTGAATGACATCATTTTTCTGACGATGTCTGTGTTTTAATTTTGTGAAATAAGGTAGATATAGGTTTTTGAAAGATGAGTGGGTGCTAAACAGAGAAAAAACTTGGAATGGCCTAATTAGATCATTTTTCAAATGGAAGATAAGGGACACCTTCATAATGTGACATGCTTCCCAAACAAGAAAATTTTAAGGTTTTTATTACAATTTTTTAATCATCTCACTGTTTATTGCATAGCTCAATCAGAGAGTCAGCTTGTTTAAATTATGGGTCATGAGTTTGAATCCCTCTCTGGTTTTACTCTTGGTACTTTCTGATGAATTTTATTAAGGATTTTTTGAAGCCAAATATTAAAACTTTTAGATAATTTAAAGCTATAACGATACAGTGAAAACTGTCTAATCTGACACCTGTTCAATCCATTTCACTATGAATTCTGACCCATATTTAAATTCTTGGGTTTTTTTTTTTTTTTAATTTTCTTTATACTTTGCAATCTAATACCCTGTCTGTTCTGATGCAAGTTTTTTGGTCTCCCAGAGCATGGCAGATTAGACAGGTTTCACTGTATTCTAAATATGAGCTACCTTTCACACATATCAGTGTCTATCAGTGTCCCATTCCTTCTTTATGTTGAAGATAAAAATAGTATGAAAGGAAAAACAGTGATTCAACAATGTTAAATTTTTTTTCCTGGCAGAGGGACATTTATCCTTACCCCAATTAACAAACAAAACATGCCAGATACAGGTATCTTAGCTCTATCCCAGATCTCTATGAACAGTCGAACGTCCGTATCTTGAACACTGATATCTCAAATACCATGGATATGTCGAAGTGATTTGGAAGTCCAAATCATTAATTCTTTAAGTATTTTACCCTCGATATCTTGAACCCTCAGATATCTCGAAATTTTTTCTTGGTCCCATCGAGATCAAGATAACGAGGTTCGACTGTATTCATAATATTGTACTTTTTGTTTTCATTAAAAGGATGATCAACATGGATCAGCTGGAGCTCAGATGCCAGGATATCCTACAGGTTTCCCTGGATTCCAAGGATATCCCGGATATCCTAGTCATGGTATCCCGGTATCCATGCCTTCAACTTCACAGAGAGACCAGATACACACCAACCCATACAATCAGCACATTCCTGTGTCCAGTCCGCCATTTCAATATCCATCTGGGGGTCCAACGATATCAAACCCTGGGGGGTTGCCACACAAAATTCCCCCTGGAAGTGAACCACAGGTTATAACATCTGATCCAATGTCCTCTAAAGCATCTATGGCTCCCACAGTGTACCAAAATTATCCAAGCATGTCCATGCCTGAGCCTGGAGCCATGGCTCCACCTTCCTATGAGAGCCATAATTTTCCACCTAAATTGCCACCCAAACCTTCAACCATGAAGTCTCCCAAGTTGGTCCAAGTGGATAACAGCAAACAGGAACAATCGAGCATTCACCAGGGCTCGGATATAGATCCGGGAATGGCACCTGTACAAGGTATGATAAATATTGTGAGCAACATGTATGAATTATTTGAACAGCATATTTTACTCTTTTCATAAATCATTTTAAAATTTTAACATTTAAATTGTGAAGTGCATTTTGGCCATTTCTGATGATTCCTGCAAAGCTAATATATTGTAAATGTCATACAGATTGGAACTTTTTATTAAAGATCAAAGTCCTATTATAATTATGTGAACTTAAATTGTCATACAATTTATGATTTATGAACGTATTAAAACTGTGTATAGTGTTACTTCTAATTGAGTGAAAAGGAAGTATTTAAATCTGAATTGTAACAATTAAGCACTCAACCTGCTCAGGGTTGTAGACTAAGGAATATGAAGTAGTATTATAAAATGTAGAAAAATTAGTAATATGGGTGTCAATAGATCTGGATCAATGGTGTCTGAATCAATTAGGTTCCACTAATTTACTGTACATGTTCTACTAATTTGATTTCTTCCATAAGATTGATTTTGCAGAGAATGTTATTCTTAACTTTAATACAGATCAGCTTCAAGACTAAAAATTTCATCCTACCAAGTACAATGTAGTATAAAGATCGATTTTAGTTTTATAATCTTGATTTTTTTTTTTATTATAATTTTGTCACCATAGAAACGCCACCTCCTGCCTGTGACAGTATCCAAGTATCCAGGCTACCAAGGGACATAACTGAGGAATTCATTTCCGATTTCTTTGAAAATGAAAAAAGAAGTGGTGGTGGATACGTGGCTAATGTGGATTATGATGAAAAGAAGAATACTGCTATTGTCAAATTTGAGGATCCAAGTGGTAATTCCTATGACAGTCATACAATAACTTAATTAAACTCTTTCATTTCTGTTCTTCATCATGTGTACCTGAAAATGAAAAAAAATGTGTCAAAGAATTTTGCATGTGGATTTTAAAACTATAGTATTTGTATATATAGGCTGCGAATGTTTTTTTTTCTTAAAAAAAAGTCAATTCAGATGTACTGCTTGGTTATAAAAGTAATAATCAATTAACTGCCACCCCACCCCTTCAATTATACAATATACAGAAAGTTATGCCATCAGAATACATTGTCTAATTTTACATGTATATTATGTCCTTTGTTAACTGAATTTCTGAAGTTTCCAGTAAAAGCTAGAATAATTTTTTTGTGTAACATTATTCAATTTTTTTCTATTCAGTGGTAAAGAGTGTCTTGCAAAGGCAGGAAAGTTCAGCCATAGTGATGAACAAGCAGCAAATAGAAATTGAAGAGTATAATCCAGCAGTAGACAGTGAGGTTAAGGGTGAATCTGATGACCTAGAGGTCACAGCAGTCAAGGTCACAAATCTTCCCCCAAAAGCAACTGATGAACAGATAGAATTGTTCTTTGAGAACCCTAGGAAGAGTGGAGGTGGAGAAGTGGAAAAAGTGGAGTTTGATGAGGCTACCAAAAGTGCTATTGTGTGGTTTAAAGATCCTGAGGGTAAGTAAGAAACAGTCTTTGTCTTCAGCTCAGGGATGTGTTCAAGATTACATGTAGCAGCTACAGGGGTATGTTCATGCATGGTCAAAGCAGGTAAATAATGCCTTGTTCACACGGATGTGCTTTAAATATTTAATTCACAGTAAATTAAATAAGTGCAAAGTAAAATAATGCAAATCAAACTAATGTGAATTAAATCACATGAGGGTTAATGCAAAGTAAACTAATGCACATTAATATTTTATTTCTACAGTAAGGCTATTCTGTAAGGATATTATGACATCATAAGCAGATCCATTTGGCATACTGTCATATTGTCTGTACACATTTTTGGAGATCAACATATTTTTTCTTTAATTTGGGTCATTGTTCAGTCTGGATAATGATATACATGTAGTCATTAAAAAAAACAATGGATAATGATATAGTCATTGAAAAAAAACAATGGAAAGGAACATTTTCACAATATTTGTAATTTTTTTTAGTGGTAAAGAGTGTCTTGCAAAGGCAGGAAAGTTCAGCCATAGTGATGAACAAACAGCAAATAGAAATTGAGGAGTATCGTCCACCAGGAGACAGTGAGAGTGAGGGTGAATCTGACCTTGAGGAGGAAGAGGTCACAGCAGTCAAGGTCACAAATCTTCCCCCAAGAACAACTGATGAACAGATAGAATTGTTCTTTGAGAACCCAAGGAAAAGTGGTGGTGGAGAGGTGGAAAAAGTGGAGTATGATAAAGCTACCAACAGTGCTGTTGTGTGGTTTAAAGAGGCTGAAGGTCAGTGAGATGAAATAATTGAAGTAGAAAGCAAAGGACTATATTTAGTAATGGCCAATATCTGCCCGTCAAATCAAATTTTGTTGGGGAGATCCTAAATTATGTTCTAAGCCAGGAGAATATATGCAGACTTCAAAGCATTAAACATTTTCATCCAATATGATGTCACGAGTTAGACATAAAATTGAAAAATGTTGTAAATTCAACATTTCAATGATTTCAGAATAAAATAACATATTTTACATCAAACATTTGATTGAAAAATATCAAGTGCAGGTCTGCTCAGACTTTATCTTTTGAACATAGAATGTCTAGAATGATAATGTCAATGAAATATGTGAAAATAGTTCCTGGGCAAGTCTGTGCTTTATAAAAACAAAAGTCAAAATTTAAAAAAAAAATTGCATTTTTCTCTCTTTTTAAAAAATAATGGGAAATCTCGTTTGTGATGTCACAGAGACAAAAATGCCATTTCTTTCCCAACCAATATTGGATTTTGTGAATTCAGATTTATGCAATAAAATTAAGGATGTCAACGAGTACCTGGTTAACCGGGTACTCGATCGAATGTCTGAGTATCAAATACTAAATCTGGTACTCAATTACTCGAATGAACATATTTTTATTTTCATTTCAAAGTACATTAAAAAAACTTTTCAAAAAATAAAATTATTTATTTGTGCATTCGGTAATTAGCGTGCCATCGCATACACCTGTTAAACACCCGTTATCGCCTGTGGCTGTGTACATGTATATAGAGTAATTAGTGACCAAACACCTGGTAGACAGTGGTTCTCGCCTATTGTGGCCCTTAAATTCTGGATGGCTTCAATAATTTGTTTTCATTGAACATCGTTTAAGTATTGTCTATTATCTTAAATCATTTTTAAATTAGTTTGTATACGGTAGCGAAACCAGTCATGCATAGAAATGCTGCTACGCACTTCAAAAGTGAAGAAATATTAGAAATACATGTAACTGCATGAATACTTAAAAAATGTTTAAAGTCAGCTATGCGGAGTAAATTTAGCATATACGATGAAAACCTTTTTTTAACAACCAGCATATGAAATAATACAACTACCGATCCCAAAAACGTACGTGTTCCTTCTCTTTCAATATAGTCTATCATTACAAAGAACTGTACACCATTTGTAATAATTGGTGTATTAATTGATGTCTTTTTGTGTGTGTGTGTGTGTTTTTTTTCTTTTTGAAAAGTAAATTAAGATAAAAAAAATCATTTTCTTTGGATTCGATGTTTATATTTATATATGCATAATATATGCAATAGAAATCATCATTGTAGTTAAACATAGCTTAACTGGGCTCAAGAAAATTTACACACTTGTATGTACATTTTTACCGAGTACCCGGGTACTCGATCGGAAAAACGTCCGAGTAACCGATTATCAAATATTGACCGATTTGACATCCCTATATAAAATATATTAATTAAATTGTGCACATTTCAAGATATTTTCAAAGATTTTCAAAGTTTTATGGGAACAGGGATAAGCTTTATCCTTTATATTTCTATAGGGCATGATTAAATTTATATAACATAGTCACATAAAAACAAAATGAAGAAAGTAATGATGAATATTTGCCATTTAATTTCACAGGTCATGTTCTTGTCAACAGCAGAATATGACAAAAATTATTCAGATATTACAATTACTTAACATAGTGAAACTCTTTTGTGGTGGAAGTAGGAAACGTCCTTTAGTTGGGGACATTGTTGCTGTTGAAAACACCATGAGATCTCTCCTTGTAGACTTTTTTAAGGATACATAAGAAAGAACAGGAAGTCATATATCTTGCTGAATATTTGGTAAATACATGCTTGCACAACTTATGAGGAGAAAATGTATATAGGGAAATTGTTCCCCGTTTTATTTTCGCCCCTTTCATCCTACTCACAAGAGGGCAAATTTAAAATGGGCGAATTAAAAAAAACACAGTATAATTTCTCAAACAGAACTGTGATTGGGCGAATTTAAAATGGGGCAAAATTATTTACAAGTGTGAAAGAGCGAAAATAACCCTATATACAGTAGTCCTCTTATCACCCATTTCTTTCTGACAATCATTACTTTTGGAAGTCGGTAAAATCTCACATGAAATAAACATTCCGAATTAAACAATCTACTACCTGGAGTGCAACTGTCAGCAATACATTGTACTTTTGGCATATGAATCATTGGAATTATTTGAATGTCACCAGTAAAAAAATGTTATGTCCCAGAAATCTTGCCAGATTAAGATCTTCCTTGACTTTCCCGCAAAAGAGCCGCAGAAAGGTAGATAACCCCAAGGTAATCACGGTACCAATTATTAAGGGATGACCATATCATTTGTATCTGCCTAACTATCTTTTAGGAGTCATAATTTTACAAACCTACATAAAAGAGACATATTTTTCCATGAAAAGCCATAGTTGAATAAATTCTTAATTGTTTTGCAGTTGTAGCAAGTGTTCTACAGAAACATGAGAGCACATCTCTGATGATAAACAAGCAGCAAATAGAGGTGGAAGAATATCGTCCCCCACGAAATGACAATGATAACAGCTCAGAGGAGGAAGACCAGGAGGGAGGGGCAATCAAGGTCACTAAACTCCCCCCAGGAACCTCAGAGGAACAAATAAGTCTCTTCTTTGAAAATCGTAGGAAAAGTGGAGGTGGAGACGTGGAAAAAGTGGAGTATGATGAGGATTCAAACAGTGCTGTTGTTTGGTTTAAGGATGTTGATGGTATGTATAAGTTCCTAAAAAAGTTTTGATTGAATTTTTTTTCATTAATTTCTTAATCATAATAATTATTGTGGTATATTGATTTTCTTCTTTTCATTCCCAGTTGTTTCAAGTGTTCTTCAAAAAGCTCCACTTCTTTTCAATAAAAAACAAATTGGTGTGGAACAAGTAAGGATGGATGGAAAGAAAGTGGAAAAAGAAGCAGAAGAGAATACAGGCCCTTTGTGTACCATAGAGGTTAGGGGGATGAAAGAAACAACATCCATAGATAGTGTAGAACTGTATTTTGACAACAAGAGGAAGTCAGGAGGTGGAGGTGTGGATGAGGTCAAAGGTGAAGTGGAAGACGGAGTCCTGTATGTTACATTTGAAGATGAGGATAGTAAGTGATGAAATTTTAAAAAAAGAACTTCATATTTATAATGCTCAGAGGTGTCTTCCATCAATTATTGTCTTATAACCTACCTATAAAGTTGTAATTACACGGTATAACTTTCTTGTGATATGTCATTCTATTTTCCAAAGTGAAAGAGTTGTATGGACTTTTCTGAGGGTAATGTTTACCAACACATTCAGAATTTACAATTTTATCCAATTATTACAATAAATAAAAGGGGCAGTGACTCACCTAGGGATAATAAGGATTCTTTTTTAACATGCCCCTGTAATCAAAGATTCATGGGCATTTACTTTTTGGTCTGTCCCTGTATCCGTCTGTTTTCTGTTTAATCTTGCTCATAAATTTTGAACAGTTGCTGCTAAGGCTTTCATATTTCTCAGTGTGTGCATTCCTTGTGACAAGACCTTTCTTTGGATATCAAATGTTTAGACCTCAATGATATTGATGTACTTTTGAAAAAGCTGTCATCTGGGGACAATTGTGTTTCATGAACACATGTTGTTATGCTACAAAAATAAATAATTAATTAATATTTCCACTTTTATCTAAAAGCTGTTGAGAGAGTTCTCCAGCGAGGGCATAAGGTTGATGGAGCTACCTTGCAAGTCAAACTTTACCAGCCTCCCAAACCCGTACCAATGTACCAAGACAGAGTACTGATCAAAGGATTCAATCCAGAAACATCAAAGGATGGACTAATCAACTTCTTGGAGGCCAAATCTGGGGAAGATGTCAAGGATGTGGTTTATGGACAAGAGGAGGGAACAGCAATGGTTACTTTTGAGGAATTAAAAGGTTTATAGGGCTAATCCTGCTTCATCACAATTTTTGTATTTTTACCTTATGGGCACTCAACTATCACAGTGTAAATACCATTAATCTTGGGGGGTGGGGGATGGAACTCATATGGAACACTTATTTTTTGGAAACTCAGGTTGAATGAAGGAGTAGTGAGGTCAAGCTCATAGAGAAAGTCAAGATAAGAAAAAAAAATGACACAGTTGAATTGTTCTCACCAATACAGTAAAACACGCTTATAGCGAACACAGTTATAAGGAATTGATGCTTACAGTGAAGTGATTTTCATTTTCAGTGACTGTAAAATATATTGTAAAATGAAGAGATATAATGAATTATGCTTATAACAAAGGAAAATCGTCTGTTCCTGGCACTTAGTCATAAGCCTGTTTTACTGTATTTATCTTAGCATATGAAGTTTAAAATCTTGAAAAGTGGCATTTAGGTCATTGGATGGTCAAAATCATTAGGAAAGTCAAGGTCAAAAGATAATGTAAGTTAAATTTAAGTTGAAATAAAATGTCTTGCAAAAGTGAAGCTGGTTTTAAGGTCATAGGGAAGATCACAGTCAGAAAATTATGACACTTGATCTTGAATTTTGATCAAAATATAATGAACATTTTCTGATGAACTGTTCTTTTTGCTATGCTATTAATAATAAGGCCAAGGTCATTGTGATAACCAAGGTCTAAAAATATTGATACAATTGCATAACAATCATCAATATTTGTATTGTTTTTTGAATTTTGATGAAAATATGTTTGAAACTCAGAAAAATGCAAAATGAATGAATATGTCAAGGTCATAGGAGAGATCAGGAAATTATGACACAGTTGAATACATCCCAGCAATATTTATCAGTGGAATTTAAAATAAAAAAATCTTGAATATCCACCCCAAACTTTTTTAGTATTAAATCTTAATAAATAAATTGATTAGATTTCGAAGTAAAAAGTTTTATTAATTTTTTTTTAACCATTTACAGATTTTGGAAAACTTGAGGCAGCATGTCAAAAGAAAGCCTTAGAAAAATGCTACCTAGCTGTGAAAAGAATTCCTATCTCTAACTGTGTAATTGTATCTGGATTTGGAGAGAGCACTTCAGTGGACACACTAGAATTCTACTTTGACAATGAAAAGCGAAGTGGTGGGGGTGGTGTCAAGGAGGCTAAGGTCAATCCTGAAGATGGTACATGTCTTGTGTACTTTGAAGATCCTGCAGGTGAGAAAATATTTAAGATTCATTATTCCCCTGTTCACTCATGTAAAATTTTGCTTTACTGATTTTTTTCCAGGAGATTAAAATTCTCACAATTTCAGCCTACCTTTGCAGGCAAACTTTGACAGAAATGACATTTTAAGTTGAAATTCTATAAGGGAATATTAGTCATTTACCGTAGGGAAATTTATCTCTATTTACAAAGAACCTCAGATTCACAAAAGTTTCTTTATAACCAAGATGTCCCTAAAAGCAAATTCCTCATAACCTTATTTCACTGTATTTTTTATTATTTTTTTCTCAGTGTGTGACAGAGTTTGCCATAAAAGCCATAGAGTTGACAACCAGAAGTTAACAGTACATACTTACCATGAATGTCTAGGACAGCCATTTAATCCTGATGAGGGTCCAAAGTTCAAACCACTGGATCCAGTTATTGTGAGAGAACTTGACATGAGAAAAATGAAGTTTATATACACTTCTGAAGAGTTCAAACAGGCTATGAACAAGCAAGCAGAACTGACACATGGCAAGATAAGATGGCCAAAGAAAGCAGCAACAGAATTAACAGTAGAGTGCACTCTAACAAAGGATGTAAAAGACTGTCGAAAATTGGCTGAAAAATGGGAAAAACAAGTGGCAGATGGCATTAAGAAGTTGCTTGGGGTTCTGCATGTGGAAGCTGTAAATGTTTTACAAGAAGCTTGGGAGAAATTTTTGGAGGGAATAAAACAAGTGAAAGTTCCTGATCCACAGAAAGTGGGCATTATTCTAGAGAAAGGCAATTACACCATAGCTATTGTGGGGTATGGAAATATGGTTGAAGGTGTTAGAAAGGAAGTTGAGAAGATTATTACTACAGTGGTTGATGAGATTCAGAGAAAGAAACAACAGGTCACAGAAACTGTTCAGTTGAAGCATCACCAATTTCTGCTTCTTAGTTTTGATCATTTCAAGGAAGAAACAGAGAAAAAATTCCCAGATATGCAAGTTAAAACAAACATGAAGGACAAAAGTTTCACCTTTGAGGGCCAATACTTAGAAGTCAGCCAAGCAAAAATATCACTGTTTGAAAAATGTCAGCAGATATACCAAGCCTCTGCTGGAAAATTCTCCAAAAACAGGCGAGATTTTTTGAACAGAAAGGATGTAAAATCTCGAATTGCAAAGCTGCTGAAAGAAAAAGAGAACATGAGTTGTTTTGATTTTCAGAGAGAGGAGGTGATGCTTTATGCTTTCTCAGATGACAAAGCTGTTGAGGCAGCACATCTGATAAAGGACAGCATTGTGGAGTCCCCAATTGATGTACAACCAGACTCAGCTTTCCTCCTCAATTCTGATGCCTGGGATAAGAAAGTCAAAGAGATAGCAGCCAATGAAAATTTTGAAGGACTTCTTCAACTGATCACCTTACATGAACCAAAACAAGTAATAATTGTAACAATGAATGAATATGTTGGCCTAGCGAGAGAATTTGTAGAGGACTTTCTTCGAGACAATACAATCATGAGTGACTCCATGGATGTTCCTCCAAGTTATTTCAGATTTTTGGAGCTCCACCATAAAAACAAGTTTGAACAGCTTTGTGAAAGTTTGAAGGAGCAGCAAGTTCAGATAACTAAAAGCAAAAACAGAATCACAATTAAGGGCACTAAGATGGGTCTGGATCAAGCCAAAGGAAATATTGAGGACATGTTGAAGAAGATTCAATCGAAAAAACACACTATAAAGAGACCAGGCATTGCCAAACACCTTCACAGTGAAGCTGGCAAAAACAAGATCTCTAAGGTTCAGAAGTTTCACAAATGTTACATTCAGATAGGTGACAAAGAACCCATGGGTTTTTCTAGTTCTTGGACCACAGCTTCAGGTCCTAGACAGAAACAAGCCTCAAATGGTGACATTGCTGAACACAAAACTAAGGCAGGAGTGTCCATAAAGGTTCACTCTGGTGACCTGACTGCTCTCCCTGTAGATGTGATCGTTAATGCTGCTAACCCAGACCTTATACATCATGGAGGACTAGCAGGAGTCATTGCCAAGAAAGGTGAGATTCATTTATCTCTTTAAAAATCCTGCTTTAATGATTTAATGCTATACAATGTTTAATTTCCTTGTGTATATAATTTTTGGATATTGTTCAGTAAAAAAAAATTAATCTACATGTATATGCTATAGATTAGAGATGTTCTAAACATGCAACAAATTAAAGCTGCACTGAAGGGTTTCATTTGTAAATGAGTTTTACTATGAATATTTTTCAGGTGGAAATGAAATCCAAGAAGAATGTTCAGAATATGTAAGAAGAAATGGGAAGCTCAAAGAAGGAGACACCTTCTGTTCAAGGGCAGGTCAACTGTCCTGTAAAATGATTGTCCATGCTTGTGGACCAACTTGGAAAGGTGGAATGAATCAAGAAAACGGCCACCTGACAAATTGTGTAGAGTCTGCTCTAGAAGAAACAGAGAATATGAGTCATAGATCTATTGCAATACCTGCCCTGTGTACTGGTATATTTGGGTACCCTATAGATAAAGCCACTTCTGTCATTGTGAAAGCAGTGAAATCACATTTGAAGGATAAAAAGGGGTCCAGCATTAAGGAGGTGATCTTATGTGATGTTAAGCCAGAGACTGTTAAATGTTTCACCGAGGCTCTAAAGCAGGAGTACAAGGGGAAGGTGACGGTCTTCAAAAATACTGATGAAAGTGGGTCACCTCGAAGTCTGCAAACAGAGGCACAGGGTAATTAGCTTATTTGGTATGCTCTCTAGAATTTTCTTTTTGTAATTAAATGTTTATGCTAATGAGGTGACATAATTATCCTGCTATCTTTTTCTGATGTCAAGAATTATGAGTATTCCTAAGTTTTTTTCTGTTGGATATGATTTAAAAGACATCATTATGTGTTTATATGGTTTGATTTGTCAGGGCAAACACCAGCACAAAATACAGAGTTTACAGCAGGACACATTTCTGTCAAATTAATCAAGGGCCAGATAGCAAAATCAAAGGTGAGTCTGCAGCTTGTAACATGCATCAGGGCTGTCCCCAGGCTTCTGGAAAGGGGGGGGGGGTGCAGGAGGTCTGCCAAGGGTATACCCTCTGATAAGGGTACTCCCTCCCTGAGCCAGATTTTTTGTTGATCTCTGGTAAATTAAAGGTATTAAATGTATAAATGCAATAAATAATCATTACAGGTGGATGTCATTGTCAATACAGCTTCAAGAGATTTAAGATTGAACCATGGAGCTGTGTCAGGATCCATCTCCAAAGCAGGAGGAGACTCCATTCAGCAAGAGTGTCTAACTAAATACCCAGATGGGATAAATCCTGGGGAGATAGCAGTGACAGGGGGAGGTAACCTAGCCTGTAAGATTGTGTGTCACGGGGCTCTCCTGGCCTGGGACAAAGAGAAAGGAGAAGCTAAGAAGGTAACCAGAGAAAGTTGTACTAACAAAGACATATCCTTATGTGGGTTGATATTCTCTATTAAGGTAAAGATCTAGTAAATGAAAGGGGCTTACAGTTTCTAATGATGCTTATTACAGTCTAGAGCTTTTTCAAATAACATGTATCAGCTAGGGCATAATTTCTATGTAAATACAATTAATGTATGATGTTATTTTTAACTGTCTTTTTAATGCAAAATAAATAAAACAAGATAAAATTATGGGAGTTACATTTTGGACAAATGAAATGAATCCAGATTGCCTATACAGTCTCTCAGAAAATGGTAATTTAAATAGTCTTACCTCTTCTTTGAAATAATATTAAAATGATTATGGATTTTGGGATTACTTTTCACATGACTGGAAATGCTTTATTTTCTACAATTTGTTATTCAATTATAGCCAAAGTTTTGGAAAAAGAAAATTTGAATGAATTATGAAGTCATAAAATTAAGAGAACACGAACCTAACCCCATTTACTTGATCTTTACATATTAAAACAATGAATGAATCACAAAAAATAAAGCTTATGAAAATAATTAATGGGAATCTTTTAATGAAAACTTGAGGCCCTGGAAAAATACATTTTTCATTCTATTTCTCTCTTTCTTTTAGTATTTTGTTGAAAACTTAGAAAAAAGATATAGATTATTAAAAAAAAAAGAATTTACAGTTTCAATTTGTAATGATTAATTGAATGTGTTCATGCAGATTATTTTGTTACATTTCAATGATTTATTTTCTGACTTTATGAGAGCTCGGTAAAATAATGGATTGGAAATAAACAGTATTTGATACATGTATGTGTGTCACTAACATTTTCAAACAGAAATTAAGAAATTGAGCTTTAAATTCTTCTCTAAAATTACTCAATACATCAGTTACAAGAAAATTTGATTAAATGTTTTTCTTGAATGCTTGACAGAAGAAACATGTACGTATTCAAATCACACAAGTTTTAAATAATATAAAGTTTGATCTTCTGGAGGAATCTGAGATTAAGAGTGATGGATGTTTGATTTACTTGTTCACATTTCGTTTGAAATTTATGGTAACGCCTGTGATGTAGGTCCTATGTGGCAGTTTTGATTAAGTTGTATGGGATACCTCCATGTTATGATGAATAAGGTTTTGATTTGGTTGAGTGCCTATCATTGGGTCAAAATTTTATGATGCACTGTTTAAAAAACTCTCTGAAGCTATTTTAATGCAAGTGTATTAAATTTATTAAATTATCTGTACTATATGGAGATTTTAAAAAAAGCAAACCTAGAGTATCTGGCAACCTAGAGTATCGATCTGCATGAATTATTACCAATCAATTTATCATGTTAACCAGAACTGGTCTTCTTTCTTATTTCATTCAAGGGGTAACTGTTTGGTCACATATAGCCCCAAAACTTTTAAAACTTTGATTGCAATTTCTCTGAAGGCGACACATCTTGGAAATAAATTTTTCATGCATTTTTTCAGAACAGTTCAAAGTTGAAAAAAATTATCACTGCACAAAGTGCAATTTAAAAAAAAAGTTTGATAAAATGCTAATGATTTAGGAACCAGGGTATTTCAACCCTTGGAAAAATAAAGAAAGATAACTCTTCCATTGGGATCTTTTAATTCAAAATTTTTTAAATGCATATGATATTTTCCATTTATATACATATTTTTTTAAATTCGTATATTTCACTTTGTGAACATATTTATGCACATTCTGATTGTAGATTACTGTGGAATGTTATCTAACTGTTTTTAAGAAATGAAGTTTCCCCACTTTTTTATGCTTATATATATTTTTTGTTGAAAATCAAAAATATAATAAGACTTAATTATTTCATGTCATTTTTTGTTTTTATATCAACACTATATTAGCTATATCAGCTTGCCTATAATATTAAACTTTGAAAAAAAAGAATTACATGTATATAATTAAGAAAAAGTCATTTTTTAAAATTAAAAATGATAAAAAATTTATTATTTAAAATTACAATTTAACATACTGAAAGCTAGGAGGAGGTACATGTATTTCAAATCCTACTAATTAAGGTAAATAAATATGTAGAAGTTTTGTTTGGTAACCCATACCATCTTAAGGTTATAATTCAGTGTATATTTTTTCATACAGATGTTGCAGACTTTTTTGAAAACCTGTTTAACAGAGGCACAGAAACAAAACATGTCCAGCATTGCTTTCCCTGCCATGGGAACGGGTAACCTTTGTTACCCTAAGGATGTGGTGGCAGCAGAAATGTGCAATTCTGTTGTTAATTTCTCTAAAGACAATCCTAAAAGTTGTGTGAAGGCAGTGGAATTTGTGATTTATGAGAAAGATTTTCCTACCATTCAGGTTAGTGTGTAAAATCTGTTCTGTACACATTGAAAAGAGGTGCTACTACATTTTGATCTCTTAGATAATGCTTTTAAAAATCTAAAATATTCTATTCTATACAGTAAGACATGCTTATAGCAAAGTGCCAGGGACCAATAACTTTGAATCGTTATAAATGCTTAATTTGTTATATCTGTTCAGTTCAAAACACATTTCAAAAGTACAGGGAATGAAAGTCACTTTGCTGTAAGCATTAATTCATTTTAAGCGTGTTTGCTAGAACCGTGTTTTACTGTATGTTTATTTCTTGTTTTGAACTCGGAGATAGCTTGGGTTTAATTTTGCTGCAAGAACAGATTTATTGAAGTAAAAGGATTTGAATTCAAATATATTTAATTTACACTTGTATATTTTTAGGCCTTTGAAACAGAAATGAACAAAAGAGCCACTAAAGATAAAAAATCTAAACCTAAGAAGAAAGGAAAACGACATGGAGATGAGCTCAAGCTTAAAGGTTTTTCACATTGTTTTTTAAATAGCATTAACTCTGGACAAGTACTCTAAGAGTATTGCTATAGCAAAGCAAGTCCAATTTCTTATTCATAAAATGTGCAGAATCTGTCTACAAAAGGCCATATTATGTGTCGATCAGTATATGATAAGTTTAATTAACAGGATATTTGAAGTCTACCTTAAGGTAGGTTGCGGGTTTGCTTTTGTCATCAATTTTGGTACACAATTTCGACAATTCGAACGGTTGTTTTGTGCACATTTGATTATGACGTCAGTTACGTCACAAAGGCGACGTTGCGTTGTTTCCCGTATAATTCTCTGAAAATAACTTCATAAATAGTCTACAGGTACGAATCAAGTAAATGAATTCAAAGTGCATGCTACTGTACGTAAACCTCGTACATGTATGAACCAAGATCAGGTATTATTAAAGGAAAGTCTGAATTCTGATGTGATTATGTGTAATGTCTTAGAACAAACTAAATACAATACACTGACCAAATGAAAAGAATAATTTATATTGTAAGTGTTACTACACTGCTAAAAGTCAATCAAAATGAGTCAGCGTAAAAGTTATGGTATGAAAAAAGAAAATTATTGTAAATTTCTTAGCCAAAAACTTGAAGGGTTGTATGTGCGCACGTAATTTGCAACCTTAAAGGGAAGTGCGTATTACACCATGTTTGCCGGGGCGAAACTTTCACGATGGAATCAATCCTCAGCACTAAAAACGGATGAAATTTAATTACAGTACATGTATTTTCCTGTTATTTATTATTATTTCAATCATCATAATTATTATTTGTTTATATTGTATTTTAATCTTGTGTAGTCGCTATGTATATGCAGGCTAACAAATTGTGAAATGCATTTAAAAAAATAAATTTAAACAAACACCCGGACTATCAGACCTATATGACATTGTAAAAAATTTACAAGTATCAAGTGCATTTTTTTCTATATAAGAAATTATAAGCTCTCTGTGTATAAGCTAAATGCAAGTGTTTTACATTTTGCATATGGAAATTTGATTGAGAGAATTCGAAATTAAGAAATGTTTGAGAGTTAGGGCTATATACCAGCTTGCGTCTAATACAGAAAGAACATTGCCGGTAACCCCCCCCCCCCCCCCCATATTTCTCAGTATTGGGGTGTTTTTTCTTCACAGTTTTCGAATGAAGTGATCAAATTCATGTGTTATGCGAGAAATCTTACTGAACATGAACATCCTAAAAATACATGAATTAATATTTTATCAATTGCCGTGTTGTCGCTGCATGTTAATTCTAATACACGAGAAATGTTTAATATACTGTTCATTCTGACTTTGTGGGCAGAATATATGAACTTCACAATACTAGTGTAAATAAGTTCCTGGTCATCCTAACATGTTTCCGCAATAAGTGAAATGATGAATAAAATTACATTTAATTTGCAACTATGTCACTTTTTAGATTTTGCATATTCCAAATGTAAAGATATTTATACTCGTATGTAAACATGATTACGTTCAACATATGACGTTGTAGTCATAAATAATGCCATAAACACAACATTTTGGAAATATAAAAGTAAACTTTGAAATTATTTAGCAAAAAAACTAGCGAGAAGACATATTGATTTTTTTTATCTCAATAGTTTTAATTTACCATCATCTGGATATTTTGAAATTCCTGACTAATTCGTCTACGTCTTTAAAAAGTTATCCAACCTTTTTTAAAGAAACTCTTTCCGCAAAATTGGCTTAAAAAAGTCATTTTTCTATATATTTCAATGGTAAAGCGTAAACATAGTACTAAAAACTATACCGCGTTTACAGTAATACAGCATTAAAATTACGTAGACAAATTTTATAAAAATCACAGATAAAATGCTATAAATTCTAAGGAACATTATATCAAATTTTCATGATATGTTTTCTCGTAAGAATTTTTAAGCAGTAAACCCGCGACCTACCTTAAATAATGACACATGCATTTTTCCCTGTAGAGGAAGATGGGTTTGTTGTGGTACCAGAGGCAGGAGTAGGAGGGCAGAAGGAGGTCTCTGTAGATATTGGTCCAATTAAACTACGCATGTACCAAGGGGACATAACTCTGGCTGATGTTGATGTCATTGTGAATGGTACAGACAGTGAAATGGATTTAAATAAAGGTATAATTTCAGTAAAGGTCAGCTTTGATAATTTATGTTTTGGTATGCAGGTGAAATCTGATGAATAAATCTCTCTTTCATTATCAGTAAGTATTAATATGCTTGTGATTTGATTGTGATAAAATTTATATATACTGCAGTAGTGTCAAAATCTCTTTCAATTGATGGCTGAATTTAATAAATAAATTAAAGCTTTAGTAAAGCCTTAGACTGCCCTCTTCCCCCTTCCGATTTTTTCCATGAATAGTCTTTAAATTTGCAATATGGTCAAACCTCTCACATTATTGCATCCAAAAACTTCTTTTGTTGAAAAGAAAATGGGAATCCTACTCCTCTTTTTTTTTTGCTTGTCAAAATTGAATTTTTGTCAGGCATTTTTTTGCTTGATACCCCTCCCCCCTGATAATTGACTTGTGGACTTGAACACATCTAGGAAATCTGCTCTTTGTCTATATATGAACTGACACCATCTTTGTATTTCATAAGCATTCATGCAAGTAGAGGCTCCTGTCATTTTGAATTTTCAAATCAAATTTTCTAATTTTTAGGTGCTGTATCTAGGAAAATAAAGTCCAAGCTTGGTGGGGAGCTTCAAAGACAGATAGAAATTCAAAGTTAGTACACATACTGATTCTCATTACAGTACAAACATGTAGAAGGATTCCTTCTGAAAATCTGGATCTGCATGACTGTCATTTGTTCAAATTTTGTTTTGAGAGAGGTAAAATATGATAATATATAATTAGTTAAATAAATGTATTCTTTTGAAATTTGCAAATAGAGAAAAACATGAAGAAGCATGGTCTGGCTGTAACTGTTAATGCTGATAAATCAAAGTTGCCAGCAAAGTTCATAATCCACGCTGATGTTACTGGGGGCAATTACAAAAAGAAAATCTTGGATGTTCTGCATAAAGTGGAGGAAATTGGGCAGAAAAGTGTAGCCTTGCCAGCTTTGGGGACAGGTAATACATACAGTCTCTACATCATGTAAGTGATTTTCATTAAAGCTTGCAGGTGT